TTCTCAGAATAAACATTTACCTATATAATCCTGAGTGTGCCCATAGTCTTCACAGAATAAACATTCACCTATATAATCATGAGTGTGCCCATAGTCTTCTCAGAATAAACATGAGCAAAGCAAATATGTTATCAATGAGCTAGAATGTGCATTAGATTTCTTTATATAAAATATAAAAATAACGGAGCATTGACATCCTTCTGAGTAATTACTTTACTAAAGAAGAATAAAAATGAATCAATCTAACAAAGATCACCAGTAAACAATAAAAAAAAATTCTCTGAAAACTCATTTCAAAAACTGATTTAAAAAGAAGAAAAAGAGCCGAGCGGTGGTGGCGCACGCCTTTAATCCCAGCACTCAGGACGCAGAGGCAGGTGGATCTCTGTGAGTTCCAGGATAGCCAGGGCTGTTTCACAGAGAAACCCTGACTCAGAAAACAAAACAAAAAGTTGAAAATGACCCCGACGAGGGAAAACAAGAACTGGAGGAGATGTTTCCACTAAGCACTAACTCCCTGAACACAAGTCTGACACCACACAGGGCTACCCTAAAAAATGTGCTCCACGTGGGCTGGAGAGGTGGCCCAGTGGTTAGAGCACCTTCCAGAGGACCTGGGTTCAATTCCCAGAAACCACATGGCAGCTCACAACTGTTAGTAATTCCAAGATCTGACACCCTCACACAGACAGACACACAGGCAAAACACCAATACACATAAAATAAAAGTAAAAATTTACTGCATTAAAATTAGTTAATTGATGTGGGAGTGTCATATCAATCTGTTGATTTCATTGGCTGAGCAATAAAGAAACTGCTGGCCCTGATAGGTTAAAAGATAGGTGGGCGGAATAAACAGAATAGAATTCTGGGCGGAAGAGGAAGTAAGGTCAGACTCTGCTCTGCTCCCGGAGACTCAACAGCTCGGCGCTCTGGGGCCGCCGTGATGGACGGAGGCTAGAATCTTCCCGGTAAGCGCACCTTGGGGTGCTTACACGCATCATTAGAAATGGGCTAGTCCAGGTGCGAGAATTAGCCTGTAAGGGCTAGAGTTCATGGGCCAAGCAGTTCTTAAATGAATACAGTTTGTGTGTTGTTATTTCGGGCATGAGCTAGCCAAGCGGCCGGGGTGTTGGGGACGCAGCCCCGCCGCTCCTATTTCAACAGTTAATTTATTTAATGTGAGTGTATGCACATATGGAAGACAGGGGCAATTTGTGAGTCAGTTTTCTCCTTAAACTGTAGAGTCCAGGGAACAAACTCCCGTGTCAGGTTTGGTGACTGGAACCTGCATCTGTCAAGTCATCTGCTGGCCCCTTACCTGCTTTCCTGCTTCCCTCTCTGCCTCCCTCCTTCCTTTATTAAATGTGTTTGAGCGTTTTGCCTGTATGCAGGTCTGTGTGTCAGATGCATGCCTGGTACCCAAGGAGGCCAGAAGAGGGTGTCAGAGAACCTGGAACTGGACTTACAGGTGGTTGTGACCTACCATGTGGGCGCTGGGAATTGAACATGGGTCCTCTGGAGGAACAGTCAGTGTTCTTAATACTGAGCCATCTGAACTCACAACCAAAAGGAGAGGACTATGTATTAGGGACCTTGCATGGTGGTGTAAGCATTTCTCTCGGAAGACAGGAGCAGGTTTAGGAGTACAAGATCATCCTTGACAACCTGGTGAGTTTGGAGCCAGCCTGGTCCACGAAAGATCATGTTTCAAAAACAGAGACAAAACAAAAAAGTACTCACAATCTTCACCTCTGGCAAAAGCTAGTCTTTCCTCTCCCTCTCACACAAAGTGAAACAGCCGGGCTCCCAGCACTACTTACTTCGTGGTATATGGAGGGCTTGGACAAGGAGGGGATGGTGAAAGACAGCACTTTGTTGTTCCCATCTTTGTCCGCAATTTCCTACAGCAAAAGTGCAAAACAACGAAACGTTACGTCTAGCAAAATAAATAATAGTTACTTTCTTAACTAACAGAATAGACTATTGGTAACTGCAGGGGAGTTTTAGAAACAACAGCATATGGAAATAGTATTACCCTATCACATCCTTTCAAATTTATTAGCAAACCGGTATATGTGTGTCGAGAGCTGTTACCCACAGAGATACTGAGCACAAATTACACTACGTAATATCCAACATGACAGCAAGGGCAAGAAGCAGGTGGACACAGAACAGGAAGGTCAAAAGTGGTTAGATTCTAGAGGGCAAAATACTGATCAGATCTTTTAGTAGAAATATAGGTGATCTAAACATAAATAAAACCAAGAGACGCACACTTACTGAAAGAACACATTATTATTACATAATGAATTGTTTGCCGGCTTTACTGAGCCATAACTGACAGAATTTACATATATTTCTAGTGCATGTGAAGTTTTGATACATTACATTGTAAATGATTACCATAAGCAAACTTATTCAAATATCAGCACAGCAGTTACCATTTTCACGGTGACAACATCTTGAGACTGAACACTGACTAAAAGAACATGACGGTAACTCAGAATGAACCACCACACTGTGATGAGCTCCATGTTGGCAATTTAGTGGGAATGGTTATGAAATAAGACTTAGATTTAGAAAATTTCTACTGAATTGTGCAAATCCTTCTGCATTCTTGTTTGTTTGGGACAAGGTTATACTCAGTAGCCGAGGGTGCCCTGGAACACAATACGCATGCCTGGCAGACTTTGAAGTTTGCACTTCAGTTTACTGCGTAGTGAGGTCAGAAATATGTGCCGCTATACCTGCTGCCCCCACCCAAAGGGTCTCACTGTACTACTGCAGCCTGACTTGTTATGTAGTCCAGGCTGTCCTGGAACTCTCTCTGTACACCACACTGGCCTTGAACTCACTGAGATCTGTTTGCCTCTGCCTCCAAAGAGCTAGGATAAAAGGACCAACACCACCTGGCTTTTTTTTTTTTTAAAGAAAAAATACTTGTAGCCAGGCAAGTTGGTCTACAAAGGAAAAGCAAGTTCCAAAACGGCCAGGCTAGTCAGAGAAAGCCAGTCTGGAAACAAACACAGGAACACATGCTTTTCCTCCCTCTAGTCTCAGGCGCCAGTCCTTCTCTCCAGACACCAGCAGGAGGAGCTGCTGCTGCCTTCTGTCTGCTCTAAGTATCACGCAGCTGGCATAGAACCCACACAGATGCTCCCACTGGACCCCACGGTAGAGGACAATCTAAGTCAGAGAACACACAGACCCAGTGCTGCAAACCTGTAGCCTGGCTTGGGCTCACCAGAAGCTAACAGGTCAGATTCAGATACAGAAGCTTTGAAGCCAGGCTAGAATACTTGAGATCCTGTCTCAAACAACAAAACCAAAACAAACCCCAAACAAAACAACAAAAAATCCCAATCGCTTGGGCATAGTGGGCCTACCCTTTGAACACCAGCACCTGACTGAGGCAGGGGACTCCCTATGAGTTTGAGACCATCCTGGTCTACATAGTAAATTCAAGGCCAGGCCCTGTCTCAAAAACAACTGGGTTAGCTTTTCACTAACAAACAAACAAACAAACAAACCAGACACCTTTAAGTTTTCTGAGGTCCCATTTAAAAACAGATCTACGACGAGATCCAGTCACACGGCTCTACCAGAGACACCTGCTCACCCACGCTCACTGCTGCTCTATTCATTCTGATGTGGGAGGCCAGCCCCGCCCTTCCTGGGTGATTCACCCTGGGCAGTGGTCCTCACACTGTAAGGAAGCGGGCCGAGCAAGCCCCGAGGAGCAAACTAGTAAGCAGCACGCTCCACAGCTGCTTCATCAGTTCCAGCCTCTGGCTTCCTGCCCTGACTGCCCTGGATGATGGACCTCAAGATGTCAGGTGAAACAGACCCTCTCCTCAGCACAGCCACAGAAACCCCGACTGAGACAATTACTTCTTCCTAAAATCTCACCTACTCTCAGCAGAAAGTGATCAAAAGTATTCAACATTTCCTAAGGAAAGCTGTAGTAACTTTGGCTAATATTTAATTTCTCATACTCTTTTTCTATACCCACTCTGCATTATCTACGGCTAGGTCTTCTGAAGTGGAGAAGTTTCCCTACAGCAGGTAGCTCATTTCAGTATTCAACTTGTTCCTTATGAAAAAGGGATTCATAAACACTGGTTCAAAAAATGCTTTGAAGTAAATCATCTGATCTAACAATAGTATCAATTATAACTTCATCAAATTTATAAAAAACATTTCTAACAAATGTTTATATTCAATGCAAAAATTATTCAACGGACATTTCAATTTGTTTTTCTCAAAACAATCTTCAAATATTTCAGAGGATTTCAACAATATTTCAAATATCCTAAACACCACTTTCAACTCACCAAATTATAAATTCCTAGGAGAAGAGCTTCAATGCAGCCATTACTCTGTCTGTCTCTGCTAACTGTAAGTCGCAAATAAACCCACATCAGCTCGGGCAGAAACTGCAGTGTGAACCTCTTGAGCCGGACTTCTGAGCTACGATAGAGCTCAAACAGTTGGTGGCAGACAGGCTCCAGGAGCTAAAGGGAAACAGAGAAGCATTATTTCCATGGCTTGAGCTGTAACTATGTTTCTTAAAAAGCCAAATGTACCTTTATAGTATTTAAAAAATAAATTCTTCTTAAAATTAATTCCTCCATGTATGAGCTAATTCAAAATCGCTTTAATAGACTACATATTAAACGGCCAAACCTTGAACTAATTACTTTAGTACCAAATACTATCACTGTACTTTTGATGTACTAGGCTACTAACTTTATTAGGTAAGTAGTCTGTTTGCCAAATATTTATATTAGGTGAGCTTCACTGTCTGTTCTTACCAAGCCCTTCTGGTCTATATTGTATGTTTTTACACTTATGTATGTAAGCATGTATGAGTGGGGTACTGTCATGCCATGGCACACATATGGAGAACAACGCTGTGGGTCTAGTTCCCGCCTCCCGTCACATGAGTTCTAGGATCCACCTCGGCTGCAAGGGCTTTTATCCAGAGTCATCTCACTGGCTCATCTTCCATTTTAAGAAATTTCTTCTTAATTAAAATAACTTCAAATTTCAAGTAAAGCCATGACTTAGGTAATAGATCACTCATTAGGTTAGATTTTATAAACACATGACACGGACATCTAAAATTCTAGCTAACATATTTTAAATACCTACGGGGAAGAAGAAAAGATTTGAGACCTCACTAATTATACTTATTGGGCAAAGGTCCTGCTGCACAAGCACGAGGACCGGAGTTCAGATGCCCAGCGCCGATATAAAAACTGAAGCTATCGTGGCATGGGGAGGGGGGTAAGCAGACTCCCAGGGCTTACGGGCCACACAGCCCAGCTATGACAGCAAGCTCTAGATTCAGTGAGAGGCCCTATCTCAGGAGACAGGGGGAGAGTGCTAGAGGCCAGTGCTCAAAGCCTACTGCTGGTGTGCACACACACACACGCACACACACAAGCACATGTGTTCTAGAATCAGTGAGAGGCCCGACCTCAGGAGACAGGAGGAGAGTGCTAGAGGCCAGTGCTCACACTCTACTACTGCCGTGCACACACGCACACACAAGCACAAACACACACAGAGATAACAGGCACACACACACACATAAACACACACGCAATTCTGAAAAAAAAGTGCATATATAAATATGTTTTTCAATGCTTAATTGGCTAATTATTCTTGTATTACTACATGAAATGACTTGAGAGACCTCAAGATGGTAAAAACTAAATAAAACGAGCAATTCCACCCACTGCCAATTTAAAAAGGTTCTACTCCTGCTAACCACAGACTATATACACCTGGCTGACTTTTAACTACATATTAAAGACTGAGTAGAAACTAAATTTTTTTTTAAGTTCTTCAAGACAGGGTTTCACTGTGTGGCTCTGGCTGTCCTGGAACTCACTCTGTAGACCAGGCTGGCCTCAAACTTACAGAGATCCGTCTACCTCTGCCTCCCCAAGTGCTGGGATTATGCAGAATACGATGCCAAAGAAAATATAAAATGAACAGATTCAAGTCAATGCCCATCAAAATCCCAGCAAAATTCTTCAAAGACCTCGAAAGAACTGTACTCAACTTCATATGGAAGAGCAAAAATTTAGGATAGCAAAACAATCCTGTACAATAAAAGAACTTCTGGAAGCATCACTTCAAACTTTACTACAGAGCTACAGTACTGAAAACAGCCTGGTATTGGCATAAGAACAGACAGGAGGACCAATGGAACCAAATAGAAGACCCAGATTTCAATCCACACATCTTTGAACACCTGATTTTTGACAAAGAAGCAAAAAATATCAAATGGATAAAAGAAAGCATATTTAACAAGTGGTGCTGGCATAACTGGATGTCAACATGTAGAAGAATGAAAATAGACCCATATCTATCACCATGCACAAAACTCAAGTCCAAAAGGATCAGAGACCTCAATATAAAGCCAGCCACACTGAACCTCATAGAAGAGAAAGTGGGAAGTACACTTTGAATGCATTGACACAGGAGACCACTTCCTAAATATAACCCAGTAGCACAAACACTGAGAGAAACAATAAATGGGACCTCCTGAAACTGAGAAGCTTCTGTAAAGCAAAGAACATCGTCAACAAGACAAAACGACAGCCTACAGAATGGGAAAAGATCTTCACTAACCCCACATCAGACAGAGGTCTGATCTCCAAAATATACAAAGAACTCAAGGAATTGGACACCAAAAGATCACATAATCAAAAAAAAAAAATGGTGTTCAGACCTAGACAGAGAACTCTCAACAGAGGAATCTAAAATGGCTCAAAGACACATAAGAAAATGTTCAACATCCTTAGTCATCGGAGAAACACAAATCAAAACAACTCTGAGATTCCATCTTACACCTGAAAGAATGGCCAAGATCAAAAACACTGATGACAACTTATGCTGGAGAGGATGTGGGGAAAAGGGAACACTTCTGCACTGCTGGTGGGAGTGCAAGTTGGTACAGCCCCTTTGGATGTCAGTGTGGCGATTTATCAGAAAATTAGGAAACAAACTTCCTCAAGACCCAGTAATGCCACTTTTGGGTATATACCCAAAGGATGCTCAATCATGCCACAAGGACTTGTGCTCAATTATGTTCATAGCAGCTTTGTTTGTCATAGCCACAACCTGGGAACAACCTAAATGCCCCTCGATCGAAGAATGGATAAAAAAAAAATGTGGTACATTTACACAATGGAGTACTACAGGAGTACTACACAGCAGAAAAAATAATGACATCTTGAATTTCACAGGAAAATGGATGGAACTAGAAAACATTATTTTGAGTGAGATAACCCAGACACAGAAAGACAATTATCACATGTACTCACTCATAGGTGGTTTTAAAACATAAAGCAAAGAAAACCAGCCTACAAACCACAATTCCAGAGAACTTAGACAACAATGTGGACACTAAGAGAGACTTACATAGATCTAATCTACATGGGAAGTAGAAAGTAGAAAAAAGTCAAGATATCCTGAGTAAATTGGGATCATGGGGACCTTGGGGGAGGGTTGAAGGGGGGAACAGAGAAAAATGTACAGCTCAATAAATATCAAGTAAAAAAAAAGAAAAAAGATCGTTAGCCCCCCCCCAAATAAAATATAAAATGAACAGGGGGACTTAACAGAGTGGAGGACTCAAATGAAAGAACCACCAGGGTGCCTGGGGGGTCCTGTTAAAGTGAGAAAGAAAAAGCAGTGCTGCTGGTGTAGAGGTTAAGGGTTAAGTTATAATGGCCGGGTGGTGGCGGCGCACACCTGTAATCCCAGCACTCAGGAGGGACACAGAGGCAGATGGATCTCTGAGTTGGAGGCCAGCCTAGTCTACAGAGTGAGTTCCAGGACAGGCTCCAAACCTACAGAGAAACCCTGTCCTGAAAAACAAACAAAACAAAACAAATATAAGTTAAGTTATAACATAGGTAGTCACAATATGCAAAATTAAACTCTAAAAGTTCATATCAACGACTTTTATTTATGTCTTTAAAGTAGCATTGCTTTTAAGACTGCCCTAAGTTCTGTTGCTATTAAATAGAGCATGGCCATTTTCTGAAATAACATCTTGGTAGCACATCTGACGATGCTTCAGAATACAATTAAGATCAGGACCTAAGACACACCTGTCTACAACTACTGTGCACAACAGTTATAAGGTCCCTCGGTTTTCAGACGTCTGAATTAAAACCTTCTGATTTGGCAGTAATAAGGGTGGAACCCAGACCTGCCCCTGCAGGTTCATTTTTTTTTTTTTAAAGATTTATTTATTATGTATACAACAGTCTGCCTCGATGTATGCCCACACGCCAGAGGAGGGCGCCAGATCTCAGTACAGATGGTTGTGAGCCACCATGTGGTTGCTGGGAATTGAACTCACGACCTCTGGAAGAGCAGCCAGTGCTCTTAACCTCTGAGCCATCTCTCCAGCCCCTCTGCAGGTTCATAATGACAACAAATGCCAAGTCTCCAGCCTGGATTTCTCCAGCTGAGGTTTCCATTTTGACCCATGACCTTGCCTCATGTGTTATTATAAAGCATAATAATATACAATAGTCTGAATAATTTTAAAAATGTCTCAAGTTTTTTTTAAAAATGAGAACACTCTTCATATCTTTGAGTACTGAATCTAAAGATTTAGTACTAGAATCATTTTGCATTTAATTGTTTTCTGATCAAGATTTACTTTTATTTACACTTAACCCCTGAACCACATCCCAAGCACACATTTACTACATATTCATTACATACATGATAAACAGTCTATACGACCGCTGCCCATGAAGAGCTTACAATCTAAAGAGAAATGCATAAAACAAATAATTTTTAATAAGTATAGCTTAAATGTTAGGCAGTGCAAGATGAGGGGCAGGGCGTACACATCATTATTTAGTAAATTTCAAACACTCCTGACTAAAGATGTGTGTGCCCGAGTGTGTATCCGACCTACTCACCGACACACACAGCCCGCGTCTGAAGTTTTAACAGTTCAGCAGTACATTGCAGGAGAAAAAGCAGCAGCTGCAAGTCTGAGAGCCAGTCCAAACACAGGGGACGGGAAGGAGGAGGTCAGTAAGCAAGCGTTTAGTGAGAAGACAAAATAGGGATGCACTCTCAGTTAGGCTGCCGGTTAGAGACGGTTACCTGCCGGGACTTCTTCAGCTCGCTGCAGTGCACAGCAGAGGCACTCTGGGAGGCTGTATCTGGGAAGATAAGAAGCTACTTTCCTGTGTGCTCCTTTCATTTCATGTTAAAGCATACATGAATCCAGTGGATAAATTACCTGTCACTGTGTGCATCTGGCCTAAGCTAACAGACAGACGCGGCTGCTGCACTCTCTACCGTCTACCACAGAGTGAGTCACAGTGAACTGTTATTCTAAGTTACGGATCTTCACACTTTAGGTTCCCAAAAGCACTTCCTCTGGTAACTTCCAGGAGAGCTTAATAAACAGCATAATTTTGTGTTATCAGTTCACAGCTGATCAGAATGCTTGTAAATATCTCTACGGTATTAAGAAATTAAAAGTAAATGATATTAAAATAAAGAAGGCTGAATCCGTATACCGTTAAGATTTGTTTTCCAGAGAAGGAACACTCCAGAACACACACAAAAAACTATACATTAAATACACAATCATGGAGATGAGGGTGACTGCAGCTGAGAACCAAAGCACACCACCTCCAACCAGGAAAAGAGACCAAGGCATCTTCAAATGTAAGAAGATGGGGCGGGGAAAGCCAAAGCAACTACCAGAGGGAGAGCGAAGAACGGCTTTCCAGACCCACGGGGAGAGAGAAACCGGACACAGCTTCACCTTACTATTTGGAGTTTACTGTTTCAAAGGCTTCCTACCTCATTGTTCGAGTCCTGAATGACTTTATAGAGCGCCGGGACAAGGGGCTTCTTCCGGTGTAGAGTCGCTGCGTAACTGGTGATCTGAGTGTCGGGTAGTGCCTAAGATGAAACCAAGGAACAGCAAAATGCATTTCACATTTAGGAAACACGTTTCTTTTACATGGGTGCTACTTGATAAAAGAAGCGTCAAATAAGAAAATTTAAAGTAATATAATTAATATCAAGTAATTAACATACAAATAACTGTTTAGCCACAAAATGATTACAAGTCCCATATCTTCACTGTAACGTAATCGAGCCTAAAAGAGAGCAGGATACATTTCCTTACTTGCACTCATGCTTTTACAAAACACACTTCGTAAGTCTACATTACATAGCTTTCTACCAAAACTATTTGACTTTAAGTCACTAGAAATCAAAGCAGAAAACAAATATTATCATTAAAACTTGAAGACTTCAGTCATCTACTGGACATATTTTAATCCAACTATTTTTATTTCTACGTAATTCTTTTGACCTTATTCATATTAGTTATACTGGAAAGGAGCACCAATAAAGAAGCACAATTCCACACTCTGCAACTTCCACTTGGAAGCACACTGCGGGACCCTGATGGGCAGATCAGTGCCATTAACCCTAGACACGGTACCCTGGACACGGTACCCTGGACACGGTACTCCTGGACACAGTACCCTTAGGCATGGTACCCCTGGACTTGGTACCCCTGGGACACAGTACCCTGGACACGGTACCCTGGACACGGTACCCTGGACACAGTACCCTGGACACGGTACCCCTGGGACACGGTACCCTGGACACGGTAACCCTTAGACATGGTACCCTTAGACATGGTACCCCTGAACACGCTACCTTGAACTCCGACAGCCACTCTTCCACCACAGCTCGCTCGGACCCCAGCATCTTTCTCTAGTCTTCTGTTATCTGAAATGTAAGGCAGTATTACCTACAGAGATTACCAAAGGTCTGTAATGCATCCGTCTCACTAACCAAGACACTCAGCTGTATTTCAGAGAGAGGCTGCTACTCGGTTTGGAGTGCAATTAAAATTTTTCAAAAATAAATCCTACTTTTAAATGATAGACCAGAACCCATTGTCTTCCTGCTTTCACATTCTCCACACTTCAACATGGCAAAGGAGGTGTTCTTAAATCTACAGTCTCAGTAAAGAGAGGCTGAAGCAGGAGGACTGCAAAGTGGAGGTCAGCTTAGGTTCTGAACAAGCCTGAGCTACAGGGCAAGACGCTGTATCAACAAAGCAAACTGAAAACTGCAGTGGCCAAGTGAAATCCATTAACACCATGGAAGACAAACAAACAAGCACAGTTACACACGACAGAGCCAACCTAGTAACAAAATATAAATATCAAGTCTAGAAAGAGCAAGGGTTGGAGGTGGAGAGATGGCTCAGAGGCTGAGAGCACTGCCTGCTCTTCTAGAGGTCCCTAGTTCAATTCCCAGCACCCACATAGAAGCTTACAACCATCTGTAATGAGATCTGGTGCCCTCTTCTGGCCTGCAGGCAAACACGCAGAGTACTACATAACTCTAAACACACTAAATACACACACATACATACATACATACATAAATCTTAAAAAGAAGAGAAAAAGCAGCCGAGCGGTTGTGGCGCACACCTTTAATCCCAGCACTCGGGAGTCAGAGGCAGGCGGATCTCTGTGAGTTCAAGACCAGCCTGGTCTACAAGAGCTAGTTCCAGGACAGGCTCCAAAGCTACAGAGAAACCCTGTCTTGAAAAACAAACAACCAAACAAACAAAAAAGCAAGTTATAGCTGGAAAACTGATAACAATATATGTATTATGCAAAATAAATCAGATTCCTAAACTTTCTAAGATGAAAAAATGCCTTATTAGCAAAATCAAATTGAATAATAGTCTGTAAATTATAAATCTAATTAAAGTTTACATTTTTTAAAAGCTTGGAAACAAACATATGCTCAACTCTTAAGTGCTTGCCAGTGAGGGTAGTCTAACATATTTAAATTGATAAAAATGAGACACGTTGAACTTTCAAATGAAAACAAAGCAAAACCCCAAAGCTTTCTTCACTCAAAAAGAAGGAGTAAGGAAAAACAGGACATGAAGAACAGACCCAGAGGACGTGGAGCTGTCTGTGAGAGCGCAGAGGAGCGCTTCTGTGTTTGCCACACCGCATGCCACTCAAAAGATTAATCAGAGCGACTTGTAGATGTGTGTGTGTGTGTGTGTGTGTGTGAGAGAGAGAGAGAGAGAGAGAGAGAGAGAGAGAGAGAGAGAGAGAACCGTAACCACATTTCCCCCACACTGTTCGCTGCTACTCCCCTAAATACGAGATTCTCTGATTTAAGATTCCACAAGGACCTTAGAATATGTGTACAATGGAGCACTGTATCAAGTGCTGAAATAAAGAACAGGAAAAAAGAAAAGGAGTTGCCATGGTGATAGTGTGTCTTCTTAGCAATAAAACCCTACCTAAGACACTGGGTGCTAAGGACATTGTGTATAATGTGTTTTGTGTTGTCAACTCGATTCACACAGGAGGGAACCTCAACTGAAGAAAAGCTTCTGACAAAATGGTCTGTGGGACATTTTCTTGACTGTTAACTGGTGGAGATCTCAGGCCCCTGTTGGAGGTAGTTACCATCCCTACTCAGGTGGGCCTTGCACGTGTGAGAAAAGTAGCTAGCTGTGAGACACTTCACACAGGCCAGGAAGCAGCTTCCTCTGTTGGTATCTGCTTCAAGCTCCTGCCTTGAATTCCTATCTTGTTTCCCCCAATGATGATAAAGTTTAAGATGAAATAAAACCTTTCCTTCCCAGGTTGCTTTTAGTCATGGTGTTTATGAAAACAACCCAAACCAAACTAGACCAGCCTCACTGAGACCATGTTTTGATATAGACATATAAAAAAAGGGGGCAGAGGAAAGCAGAAGAGCAAATCAGATGCAAATATTTAAACATATATCCACGTGATGTGTCTGTGTCATGTGTGCACATGTACCCTAGGAGGCCAAGAAAGGGCATCGGATCCCTGGGACTGGAATTACAGGTGGCTGTGAGCACCAGATGTGGGAGCCGGGAACCAAAGTCAGGCCCCCTGCAAGAGCGGTGTGCACATTGAACCTTGTAGTCACCTCTCCAGCCCCTTGCACTGAATATAATTAAAATACGACTGACCTTAAGTTGACAGCCATTTTGTTTAGTAAACAATACAAAGTTCATTATCCTATCTACTTTGCTACAACTTGGAATTTCTTACAATGAATAAAAACTAAAATATTGATAAATGGAAGCTACAAATATACAATTCTGATGTAAGAGATAGAAAACAAGGCTCTTACAGTTATTTACTTACTTATTTTTGTGGGTGGGGCTATGGATTGTACATTCAGAGACTGTTCTGAGATCTAAGCAAAACTGCGAATCCTTGCTTCAGGAAAAAAGAACTAGGGCTCGGGACGCGGCTCCATTGCTAGAGTGCTTGCCTAGCATGACCCAGCACAGACTGGTAACAGATGTGTTCTGGCCTATACAATGTACAAGTTAGGAAGAGTTACTTCTCTGTCACCTCAAACTCCTTGTTTGAGGATAATTGTGGTATCTATGATAAAAAGGTGTTTAAGTTTTAGTTTTATTCAGAGAGAATTCTCACTACCTTACCGTCAGGAGTGATCAGGAGACAGAATATCAGAGACAACTGGCAGGGCCTTGGAGCACAGGGAAGCCTCCTTTCAAACACCGGGGGAGTGCCAGAGAGGTTTACGGTAAAGTGGGTAAAAGCATTTGCTGCCGAGCCTGAAGACCCGCATGGTGGAAGGAAGAGAACTGACTCCCTAAGGTTGTGTTATGACTGTCACATAAGTACATAATGTGCGCCCCACCCTTGCCAGGAAATAAATTAATATATATTTTTAAAAGACATGGAAGGGAGCTTCATTAAGAAAGACAGCGTAGAGTAGAAAAGTGAGAGGTGATAAATGTGGGGTGGCGATTTGGGGTTCCCCTCTGCATGCTGTGACTAGCATTGGTGAGTACAGAAACTGTCTTCAGCCTGTGACAGGACAGAATAGAGGCAGGTGGGAGAAAGAAGGCGGAGTCAGGAGATGTTGGGAACGAACAAGCTGGAACCTTGCTGGTAAACCACAGGCACGTGGCAATACTCAGATTAATAGAACTGGGTTAAATTAAGATGTAAGAGCTAGCCAGTAAGAAGCTAGAGCTAATAAGCCAAGCAGTGATTTAATTAATAAAGGTTCTGTGTGGTTATTTCAGGGCTGAGCAGATGGAACAAGCAAGCAGCCTTCCTACAACAGGGTAGGATGGAGTGGGATTTGGATGTGTAGGGGAGCTGAAGGAGAAAGACAGCCTTCAGATATATGCCCTGAACAAAGGAGATTTCCTGACCTTTCTAGGGTTTTCAGGGATGATCAGAAGTTTTAGCATGATTTAGTCTGACAGACCTATGTGCTACAATGGTTGGGTCCTGGGTGAATTTTCCTTGTAGCTCCAAGGGGGAGGGTGGGCCTACTTATCTCCTCCTCTGTTCCCCAGAATCTGTGTGCTCTAGACTTCATAGCAGGGGCCTGCCAGCTGCAAGGGGCCGAGGCCCTGATTTCTAAGAGGGTCTGTGATCTGACGAATGTACCTTGGACAGTTCACTGTCTTTACTGATGACTTCACTTCATAAGACAACCTGTTGTGTACTCCATAAAAACAGTACTTCCTGTGATGCTAGAGAACCTAATGTTGGTTATCCCGCCCTCCTGATGTGGATTCATTCAGATACAGAACTGCAACTCAGGACACCATCCCAATGAGCTCATTAGTCCTCACGGGGGGAGACAGTAAAGGAATACACACACTGCCGGACTGCCGGTCCTCAACCAGGCTGGATTCCGAACCCTGCGTGTCTACTCCCTCACAGCACCCACTCCCGAGTCTGCAGCACGTGACTGCTAGGTTCTGGGACGGCAAGCCTGTGTCTGTGCTGACTCACAGCTGGCAGGGGTGTAAGGCTGGTGGCACTGAGCCCCCTTGCCTGCAGCCACTCTTGAGACGTCATAAAGCTGGCTTTGCATCGGGACGCTGGGTCTGGCTCAGACTCCAGGCAGCACAGGCGCTGTCTTTCCGACTCTTCTTGTTCCTTGTCCCTACTCTGAGCACTGTCAATGTGAGGCTTTCACTAACACAGCCCTGCCAGCATTCCTGAATTCCAACTGTCTTCCCGGGTAGATTCATTCCCCGTTCTCTTCCTGACCTGACTTGGCATGAGTTTTCCCTGAAAACTGTGGAACTGTTGAGATGTGTGCAGGATCTTGGATTAAAGCAAAACAGATTTGGGAATGAGTATTTATGTGGGTTCTCTCTTCTCTTCCAGTCCCCTCTCTGTCTAGCTAAAAATGACTTTTGAACTCTGAATCCTCCCAAGTGGAATTACAGGCAAAGAAAACAACACTGGGTCTGATTTTATGCATTTTGCACATCATTAATAAACACTGGAAAGGCGGATTATTTGCTCTAGCCACAGGTCGACTACTCAGAAGCTGCATGTGGTTATTTCCCCGGATCATACAGAACAGAAAAAGAACACAGCCATGGTCACAAAAGCCGCTTCAGACAATAGTGATCCAGATGTACCCTGATAGCACAACTGTGCCCAATAAATTAACTAAATACAAGTAAAATTCAGACAATACATTTGTTAAATGCAATTGCTAAAATGATTCAAAAATTGAATTTAAAGGTAGTTAAGGTGTGATCATTTCAGGTAAAACTGTATAATAAATAATGCTACTCACCAAAGATTACCAAACATTCCTAACATGTTTAATCATATGGGAAATTTACTCTTCATTTTTAAAAGTCAAGGTCATAATTTTACCTGTCTTAGATCAGTTTTCTAAAGGAGGAGGTGGCACAGGAATGCGGCTGAGTTCAAGCGTGGAATTCATTTGTTGAGAGTTAAATATTTTCCAACTCTATAAAAAAATAAAAAATTAAAATAGTAAGAGAATATTTTCAAGAACATTTCACAAATGGTTTTTTAATATTTATGTATTTATTATGTATACAATATTCTGTCTGTGTATATGCCTGCAGGCCAGAAGAGGGCACCAGACCCCTTTACAGATGGTTGTGAGCCACCATGTGGTTGCTGGGAATTGAACTCAGGACCTTTGGAAGAGCAGGCAATGCTCTTACCCTCTGAGCCATCTCTCCAGTCCCTTCACAAATGTTATAAATGACACACTCATAAAACAGTTTACGTTTGTGTGTCTGCAGAGCTGATGGTGCACGTGTACACATGCATGAGGCTGCATGCACTGCACATGACCGTGTGGAAGACACCGAGTCTATGCCTTGATTGCTCCCACCTCCCCTCTCCACACAGCACTGAGTATGGAACTCTCCAGAGGCCAGCCTGCCAACAGACCAGCATGAGATACACCATTCCCCGTCAGCACTGAGATCACACACAGGCAGCACTGATCTCACACACATAAATGGCTTTTTACATCGAGCTCAGGTCCTTGACACCTGTGCAGTCAGCATGTTTACCAGCTCACTGTAGCTCAGTTGACCCTAAAACATCCTACAATAACTACCATATGCGTATACCTTTATCATATCCAAGAAAAAAATATTTTGGAGACAAAAAGTCTCAAATTTTAGCATCAAGTATTCCATTAATTACCTTTAAGATGTTGGGTAGGTTATTTAAATTGCTGGAGATTCACCTCAAGAGAAATCTAAAATCCTTACAGAAATATGGACTCTACCCAGCCTCACCATGCCACCCATCCCCACTCCCAAACTAAATAAATAACAAACAGAAAACAGAGTCTACAAACAGCCTTGTTAATTGGCTTATAACAAGGATAATACTGCAATGCAATTGGAAAAGAAGAGTCTTTTTTAATATTCATTTATTTATTATGCATACAATATTCTGTCTGAGTGTGTATGTCTGCAGGCCAGAAGAGGGCACCAGACCTCATTACAGATGGTTGTGAGCCACCATGTGGTTGCCGGGAATTGAACTCAGGACCTTTGGAAGAGCAGGCAAAGCTCTTAACCTCTGAGCCATCTCTCCAGCCCCCGAAAAGAAGAGTCTTAAAAGGATGTTAGGTGACTAGGGGATCTCTATGCAAAACAATGTACCGTGACCCTTAACCCCATGCTATTCACAAAAGTAAATTCCAGGGATCAGCAAGATGATTCTCTGGGTTAGGGCACTTGCTGCCGAGTAAGGCAAGAAACAGGACAGAGTTGGGAACCTTACACAAAGGCTGAGGTTGGCACATCAAGAAACCGGCTGAAAGAGAGGGAGCTGGAAAAGCTCCCCAGCCAAGACTGCCAGGAAACAGCAAAGCGCGAACCAAACAAGCCTGTGGGTGCTATGCAGATGGCGCACAAAGGGCACCGCCCTCCTTAGTACTGGCCTGCTGTCTTCTATTACTACACGCACTAGCTGCCCAACTCCTCGTTCTAACACGAAAACCTGGAGGTCTTCACTGGGAACCCAGGGAGCTCTGCCAACAACTGCATCACAGGTGACGGCAGTAAAGACAGCAGAGTGATGACCTCAGAAAACCTGCCCTCCATACAAGCAATGAAGCAGACTAAAGCTCTCCACGAACTCTGGGGATTAATCAGAAGTATAAAGCAAACCGGGAAGTGTGTACTCAAGAGAAGCCACTGTGTAGATGGCTGAATGAATCGGGCACGAGCCCAAGGACCAGAGTTCAGAGTCAGGACCTCCACACTCAAGCAGAGCAGACAGCAGTGTGCTTATAATTTCAACACTCCTACAGAAAGACGGGCAGTAGGGACCAGAGTTCAGAGTCAGGACCTCCACTCCAGCAGAGCAGACAGCAGTGTGCTTATAATTTCAACACTCCTACAGAAAGACGGGTGGTAGGGACAGGAAAATCCTAGGAAGCTCAAGGGCCTGAAGTAGAAACTGAACAAGAGACCCTGCTTTGAACAATGTGGAAGGTGAGGACCATACAAATCATACATGCTGTGCACACACATACCACATCCATATCCCCCTCTCATGGGAGCTTTGTAGAGTTTTAATCTGCCCTATTCCCACGCTCCACAACAGCTCTGAGAGCAATCAGTGAAAACCATAGGGACAGCAGCTGGAGGACGGGCGGGTTAAAGTGCCTTCAAGGCTTCACTCCCGGAGAAATCTAATTTCCTGGAAGATGCCACCTACAAAGCTCTATCATTGTTTGGCATCAAACAAAAGTCATTCCCCAGAGGCAATTGTTGAAAACAAGGGACATTTTCTTTTTCTCAAAAACATTGAAGTTCCTTGAGGTAACGGGACAACAAATGGAACAAATATTTGGGCAACAAAAAGATTAAAAATCTGTAGATTTGATTGTATCTTAACCTCCAAAAATTCCCATCCTTACCTAGTTAACAGACCCAATTCAAAACAAGCTTTCCTAAGGTAAAATTATGTAAGCTAGCTGACATTTTCCTCTTTGTGTTTCCCCTCCATTCGTATTGTAGGGTGATACATGTATAAAATTTCCCACCGTATCTGAGTGTACAGTCTGGGGCTGTTAACATGCGTCCCTACGGTTGTACGATCACTGGGTGACACTCCTCCGTTGTCTCTGCCCCAGTCATCCTATTGTAGTCTTGGTCTTGAGCACTCTCAGCGCCTCCTACAGTAGTGTCAGGATTCTGTGTGACTAGCTAATGTCTCCTACTATAACATCTCCAAACTCCATATCTGTTCAAGAACACTTCAGACTGTCCTTCCTTGTTAAGGCTGGACCTTATTCCAGGGTACGCATTGGGCATTTTATGTTCTTCTAGTCAATTCATCTGTTAATGGGCCTTGGACCGCTTCCAAGTTTTAGGTATTATGAATGATGTTGAAATGAACATGGGCATACATACATTTCTTCAAGACCCTGACCGTAATTCTTCTCAAACGATCTCAAAAAGAGAAAGGAGGAAACTTAATAGAGGAGACTGAGTGTACTTGAGGCTGAGACAGGAAGATGCTCAGTCTAAAAAAAGTCTGTCTGGGGTACATCATGCGGCCATTTCAAAAAACAAATCAAACAACAAGAATCGAGGGAGTGAAACAGGAGCAGGCATCTCAGCACCAACACATTTCTCCCCTTCTAACAATGTTTACTATCAACTCAAATAAACAGTATAAGAAAAGTTTTGGTGTACATTTTCTAACTTTAAATATAATTAAATGTATATGAAGCATTTATGTTTAAAGTCTATAACAACAAATTAAGAAAATAGCTAATGAAATCTGAAAATCCCTTACAATATCTTTTAATGAATTTCTTTCCTATAATGAGGTCTTAGATTTATTATTTTTCTTTTTTAAGTGTATAAGCATTTTGCCCATGTCTGTGGAGCCAGCAGAGGCCAGAAGAAAGCAGCAGAGTCCCTTTGTAACTAGAGTTACAGACAGCTGTGAGCTGCCACATGGGTGCTGGGAACTGAACCTGGGTCCTTTGGTCCTCACTGTGCAAGAGAGGACCTCCACTTCTCTATCTTCTAGTTAGACATGATTTAATGACTTTCTAAAATTTTTAGAGACAGGCTTTCTCTGTGTAGTTTTGGAGATTGTCTTAGACTCACTCCGTAGATCAGGCTGGCCTTGAACTCACAGAGATCCACCTGCTGGGATTAAAGACACCACCACCTGGCTTAATGACTTCTTTGAATCAAAAAGTAAAAACGAGTTCCACAAACCATTTCACGACAGAAAGCAGTGTCTAGCATACCCGCTTCTTCCCGAAGCATCCCTGATAGAGTGCGAGGGATGCTCTGCCAATCACCACGTGAAGACAGCTCTCTGTATCACCCAAATTTTTAAGGTCACAGAGATTTTACAAGGCAATAAATACACCTTTTTCTTTAAAGGACAAACAGAGCCCAGCTATTATCTGAAGATTGTAACTACTGTGGCCACATTACTGCTAACTTTGACTGGAGCAGTTATACAATGAGACTGCAGCCGGCCACAAAAGCCAAGTAAGAGGAAAGAAATGGTTCTAGATCTAAGGCTTTTACTCCTACAAAATGTCACCTCCACCTTATTCTGTGGCCTTGTAAAATTCCCTACAACACAAAGAAAAGAAAAAAATTGATTTTGGTTTCCATGTGGTTTCATATAATAAACTGGCATTTCTACAACAAAGAAGCATCCCGCTAGGAGAAGGAAAGGGAAATACCTCAGTAGGCTCAGCTTTACATGACGTCTAAGACATAAAAAGACCTAAAAGAGAGGGGACCAGATATGGATGTAATGGATTGGCTAAGTGTTTTTTATTATTTAATTAATTAATTATTATGTATACAATATTTTGTCTGTGTGTATTCTTGCAGGCCAGAAGAGGGCACCAGACCCCATTACAGATGGTTGTGAGCCACCAGGTGGTTGCTGGGAATTGAACTCAGGACCTTTGGAAGAGCAGGCAAAGCTCTTAACCTCTGAGCCATCTCTCCAGCCCCTAAGTGGTTTTTTGAATTAGTGCTTACTCACTAGACTTAGAGCAAATGGCCCTGTTAGCAGGGATTGAGACATAAATTAAACACTGAGTTCCAACCCTTCTTTCCATCCCTCCTTTTCTCCCTCCCTCCCTTCCTTCCCTCCTCCCTCTTTCTGGAAACAGGTCTTGTTAGGCAAGGCAGGCTGGCACTGAACTTGTAATCAATCCTCCGGCCTGAGTGCAGGAATGACAGGCACGCACCCCACATGCAGCCTAAGAGGAGCGGCCTGACTGCAGGAACGACAGGCACGCACCCCACATGCAGCCTAAGAGGAGCAGCCTGACTGCAGGAACGACAGGCATGCACCCACACTCAGCACTCCGTCACCCATACTGATCTGCACGTCCATGAGAACCCAGGCTGTCTCACTTCTCCAAGCATTACTGTCTTCAGCTACTCTCCTCTTGGCGATACCCCGAACTATGTGCTAACT